AACGAACAGTTACATTATAGCCTATAGAGCAGAGTGGAACAGCAGTGTCATGGTAATATAAAAATGCTTTTCTGTGCTGCCAAAGTCTACCAGTTCAAAGTAAAGTACGTTATTATAATACAGACCATACTAACTGCTCACAAAGCTGATTACGGGTCAGTACAGTACAGTACATTATTAACTTTGTAATCTAAAAGAAGCCAAAGACCTGACATTAACATAGCTCTGTGTGGTGATTAAGGTGCCTGCATGGGACAGCTTTTTGTGTGTGTCTGTCAAATTGTCTTTTTCAGCAGCCCACCACACAGTAATCTCATTACACTGTTTTTAAAGACAATAAGATGATCTTATCTGCTGGCAACCACAGAGCAGCAGCAGGCCAGGATCCACCCATAAACTAGTCTAGCCTCCCACTCTGTATTTGAGCTTTGTTTACACTGGAGGAGCTTTGAACTTGGTGTGCAAAGCAACTTAATCTTCTAAACCTATATTATGTAATTAAATGACCCCACTCTACAGCTAGCAATTTTGTATTGCAATGCATTGTTTTGTTTTGTTTGTGATAGCACTGAATGCAACGTCGTGTTATTATTTCCTTGGACTTTACGTTATCACGGTTAGCTAATAGAATTTCTTTGAGCAATTAGAGAAGGATGCCTCCTGCTTCCCTAATCATTATCTAGAACCAGTATTTTTATGATTCCACTGGTGTGTTTGTCCCTGAGTGGCACCTTTATTAGTATGCATAGATATTTGACCCATCATCAGGATGACTCAAGTTTATCACGACTCTCACTGTGTAATTCCCTCAGTAGTCTGGAGACCGCATCACAGCTAAGAGGAGACTTAGATTTGGCCTTAAAGTTATTGGCTGACAAGAAACTCATGACTCAAAATGAATACTAATGAGTGTATCTGCTAGATGTGCAAGCTACTGCATGCAAATATGTTGATCATGACATAACTTAATCGTCTAATGTAGATCTCATGTTGTGTTAACAGCTCATTGTGCTGCCACCTGGTCAATAAAATCGGTGTATGCAGCTTTACTTTACGCTGAGTCAGACCTCACGAATCAAGTCGCACTGCATCGTAAAGACTGACATGCCTCGCTGTCCTCACATCATACAGCAAACACACTCTCCCAAAAGTTGCGATCTCTCCCTCTCACGTCGGTGCCGCTGCTTCCCTGCGCCGCTGTTGGCTGTCCCCAGCATTCGCATGTCTGCTCATCATCACTCCCTAATTTGATATACAATATTTTTGGTGAGTGATGAGCTCCACAGCATAAAAACCAGACTTTTGTATTCAAACTACATGCTGGTGCATTCCTGTTTCCTGACTAAGTTGATTAAAAAAATATTTAAATACATTTATTATTCTTGTTGCGTATATCAAGAAGCAAAAGCAGGGTTTCTCCTGCAGACAAAAAAAATTGCGACACAATTTTTTGTTTGTTTGTTTGTTCCACGTTCTCATTCATTTTTCTCCTCAACATTCTACACACAATACCCAATAATGACAAAGTGAAATAAAATGCTGAAATGTATTAAAAATCACAACATAACATGCAGATAAATATTCACATCTTTTGCTTCACTGCTTTGAAGCATGTAGGATGAATTGTTCAGAAGACTTTAAGGCAACATGAAGAAGACTGTAGTGAAAACACAGTATGGCAGCTAGCTGTTAGAAAGATGCGTTCTGCTCAGATCACGTATGAAAAGGCAGTTTTTCTGTTTGTGTCTCATCAGTAAGATTGACGGTGGAATGAAATGTAGTCAGTTCCATGCTAACAGCAAAATGTACTAAATGATTTGAGCATTAGCGCGGTGGCTAAGGTAACATTAGCAATAAATCTGGGCAGTATGGCCAAGAATTTACAATTCCTATTTGTTTTTTCCTCATTACATAAACGCAACAAAAGAATGAATTCCAAAGTACTCAAAGAGGGAAGTGGCTTTGCATGATTCATAGTTCAAAACAATTCTTGCTTTTCTTTTGTTAGGTGGCCACTCGGCTATTTTTGCTCCTCTTCCTTTAAGGCCACCCACCCTTCGAGTGAGCTTCCTTCCTGCAGCAAATTTGAAAAGCAGGTGGGTGGGGTTTCTGTCCTTTACAGCAGCGGTCCTCAACCCCCGGGCCTCGGACCGGTACCGGTCCGTGAGTCATTTGGTACCGGGCCACGAGAGTTGAGGCTCAGGTGTGAAATGTATGGTTTTCAGGGTTTTTATCGGTTTTCAGCGTTATTTTGTTATCGTTTTTATCGTTAACTCGGTTTTCCTGGGTCTTTTCACGTGTGTTATGAATAAATCTTCTTTTTTTGGTACCGGTACTAGTTTTATTTTGTTGTATTTATCCGCGACACCTTAAAGGCCGGTCCGTGAAAATATTGTCGGGCATAAACCGGTCCGTGGCGCAAAAAAGGTTGGGGACCGCTGATTTACAGGACAGCGTCTCGCCCAGGCCTGCTGTGAGTTATTAGTCAAGAAATGGCTATTAGGTCTGCTTTAATTAAAACTGTACACCCTTCCAGAATAAGTAGGATAGCAAACCAACAGTAAAATCCACTTGTTATCTTTTCATTTAATACAAAGAATACACCAGGAGGCTATAGAAAAATCTTAGCACCACAAGATTTTTTTGACTTGGCGTGGTATTCTTGGAATCCATTTCTTTTATTCTCTTAGTAAGTTCAAGTTGTGTCACTGAATAGCATGTCAAAGAAAATACCAGAGTCAGTGACATTCACCAACACCTTTGTTAGATACACCTCTTCAAATTCTTGTTAACACAAATATCTAATCAGCTAATCATACGACAGAAAGGTATGCAGACATGTAGACTTTCCACTGGTCAAAGTGGTCAAACTAAGCATGGTTGTGGGCGTCAGATGGGCTACTCTGAATGTTTCAGAAACTGTTGATCTGAGCGGCAGCTCCCACAACCATCTCTGTGGTTTACAGAGTATGGTCAGAAAAAGAGAAAATATCCACTCAGCAGCAGTTCTCCAGCTGAAAATGATTTGTTCTTGTCAGAGTCAGAGGAGAATGGCTAGACTGCTTCAAGTTGGCAAAGGTACCCGAGATTTAACAACCAAGGTGTAACTAACAAAGTGACCTGTAAGTATGCACTCCATGTTCTCTGTGTATTTTTGCCTGAGCGCCTCAAACAAAGCAAACTTTATAGTAAACCCAGACAGCTCATATCAATCTGCTCATATTTTGATTTGATGTGAGATAATAACAGGTCTAATTAGTTTCTTTGTTTGGAGGAGTGTCCAGGTGTTCCTCTTTACGTAGGGCTACACAATATTAAGCTGTATATCAAATACTTGTTCTTCAAATAGGAAATGGCAAACCTGTAATATCCAGAGTTTGGTCTTTATAGATTTTTTTTATTTTATTTTAGAACATTTCTCAGCTGTAGTAACATTTCTGTTTGCCCTACATTTATTTACTTGATGAAGGAGAACATCAGCCTTTGCTGGTGTAATTTAATCAGCGTAGCAATGATGATACAAATAGTTTTCATATTGAGCATTTGAAGTTCAGTCACATCCATTGTGTCAGACAAAGCAGAATTTATTGTCAGGCTCAAATGTTTCACAAGTTACCTTCTTCCAACCTTCACCGAGTGTCCTCTGTCTTTAGTCTAACCTTGTGCTGTTGAACACACACAAATATAAATTAGCCTTCAATAGCATTAGTAATTCGCTAAGAGCTGGACTGTTTATTCTGCACTTTCAATCAATGTAACAAACCACTGAGGTCAGGGATTTCTGAGCATGTTCTGGTTGTTAATTATTGGAGCTGCTGTGCTGACTGGAATGGCAAAATGTCTTAGTTTATGCAACTTCAAGCTCATAGTGTTCCAAGTGGCATCAATCAGAGCATAATCTGGGGTCATATTATGTCCAACTAGGCAAGATAAATTATTTTACCATCCTCAGTGAAAGCTAGTGTTAGCGTGGAAATATATGTAATTCCATTGTCTTACTCAAATCACTTGGTTTGATAACCCTGAAAGCCATTCCTGTGGAACAGTGCACCTTGTTATCTGCTCTTTTTTTTTTGTTCCATCTACTGTAGCATAAGTCCATTACTGTGATGAGGAAAAGGGTGCTGAATCAAAGAAGCTGGTGGCGGCTGGCCGTGCTCCAGATGGACTGGCGTGTGTGTGTGTGTGTGTGTGTGTGTGTGTGTGTGTGTGTGTGTGT